TTTCAATCTTCGGACTGACTGTAATAAAGTTTCTACTATGATATTATATAAATAAAAAAAAAAAAAAAAAAAAAAAAGATTAGCATTTAAATTAAATATATATTAATATATTACTGTCAGTGTTGGTTTGACCAGACCAATCTGACTATTTGACCAGACCAATTTGACCAATGACCAGTCTGGTTCAAGCATCTTGAAATGGTCAAAGTCGGTCAAATGATTTAGTTACACAGACCAATCAGACCAATTCAACTAATTCGACTATAGTCAAATTGGTTTGATCGGTCTAACCAATCTCTTCTAGCTTTTAACGATAACGATAATACATTTTATTTAAATCAAATATTGCAATAAAATTTATTTATATTTCAATAACTAAACATAAAGTTTTATAAAAAATCATTTTTATAACAGATAAGTACTAAAGTTAGCCTAAAACTAATCTATTTCTAGTCACTAAAAAGCATAGAAACATCTTGTTGAAGTGTATGAACAAATAAAGGTTGCGATAAATCATATGTAAAGAGATATTGAAGTTCAATCTTTGAATCTTTATGTTCAGCCGGATGATATTTATGCAGGTTAGCAGCTTCGTTGTTTAATTCTTCAAGTTCCTTTTTTTCCTCTTCTCTTCCCTTTCTTCTTCCCCATTTTCTCCAACTTTAACCCATTCCTCAATAACCGATTCATTGTCATCACTTATATAGTCATCGCTATCATAATTTTCATCATCATAATTATTATTATTAGAATTTCATGCATTAATACATGCTCAATTTCACTAAGATCATCATTAGGAATATCCATTTCATTTCTTTGTTCTTCTGATTGATTTTCACGATGTGATGTTTCTTCACTATTGATTGAATTAATAACAGGATTTTTGATAACAGTTTGTCGAACCTTTTCGGCACTATCTAAACGCTCCTCCCATGCTATTTTGGCTACAATTTAAGTTATTTTAAAAATCGTTTGTAACTGCAGCAAGATAAGTTTATTTAATATACTGTAAATTTACAGAATTTAAATAATTTTAATTACTTACATCAGCAAAAATATATATGCGTAAACTTTCGTAAGTTTTTACGGTGCGTAAGAAAATCATAAACTTACGTAAAATTTAGCGTAAAACTACGTAAAT